TATTAAAAAATAATTGAGAAATGAGCTTTACATCTTGCAAAATACACTTTTCTGGAGAAGTAATTGCTACAAAGGAACATTTTCTAGGGAGATATACTAAAAAGATTTAATATCAATAATCAAAAGTCATGTAAAAGATTATAATATTATCTTCCATTTAAGATGATCAAATCTTTGCATATTCGATCATACGTACTAACTGGAGAATCACTGACCTTCGTGTTCACAGTAACAGTGCCCTCCCAGAAACAAATACAGTTGTCAAAGCTATTGATAGTGTTAAAACACAGTATTTAAATAAAATACTCCTCACTTCACAAATTGCTTTTACAGTGCAAATTGTTAAATTTAAATCACTTTGTAAGAACGACTCCAACCTTGGTCATCATTACTAGAATATGAACTTTTAATATTAATTTTTTTATCCTAAGAAAGTTATATGATTCTTACATAAATTTCTATAACGATTAATAATAATAAATAATAAATAATTAAAATATGAAACAGAAATTAACCATATATTCTAGCTTAATGTTTGTGCTGAATGAACAATAGGTTAATGAATGAATTTGTCAATGAGCCTCAATTAAAAAATTGGCAAGAGTTGAATATGACACTCTTTATGCAACTAGTTGAGTATCTGCAATAAATGGTACATTCCAGTGCCGTTACGCATCACTTCTTTTTCCACCATACATATATTAACACCACTTAAATATATGTTAAAATGTCCCAAACACATTCAAATATCTCCATCTCAAAATGCTAATTATATATTTTTCTTCACCATCACGAAAACTTGCTAGATTTTACATTTCAAGCATTGTTCAGTGTGATCAGTAGGTCTAAAATTGAAAGGATGAGCATAGAACATAAATTCTTTAAAAAAAAATAGCATCGGAAAAGGTTGGCGAATTATGTCAACTTCGACCCTTTATGTCTGTCAATATTTTTTAGATTGGTTTTTAGACAAACATGATATATAAAATAGACTGATTAAATTAATTTTGAACTATAAATAAAAGGAACCGACACTTTGTTTAGTGTAAATATAGTGGTATTATTATGATGCTAATTTAGTCAAAAATATTTTTTGTCTTCTTAATGTTTCCCTTTTCTTTTTCCTCTACATAATAAGAGAGAGAGGTCCCTAGCCAAATGTCAATTATTTTATATTCAACCACCTAAATGCAATTAAATTTCAGTTGAAATGTCAACAAATATGTTGACATCTTAACAAGGAAAGAAAGTATAACTAAAATACTTAATCCGGTTTAATGAGATAATATTCCTTTGGCCCAGTAACATATATTACTCCATTGAACAACTTGTACCCAAAATTAACGTCAAACTAGTTTGGGTCACCAACTAAATTGTTCTTACTCACTCCATTTTCACTATTCATTCTTTTCATTTGTCATCAATGACCTCAACGATGATACAAAAGCTTAACCCAACCCTATCCACATCGATCATATCCTAATTCTATAGCCTTCCTCTCACATCCAATTTCTGTGGCATTTTAATTTCTCATGAATCATTGGTTATGTGTGATAATGCATGTGATTTGACGTTAAATTGTTCGTTTAGATTTATAGATTTATAGACGTATCATATTGCTAAGGGGTCCCTTTCCTCTAATAATTGTTGAGGGAAATGGAACCATTTCTATATATCTTACTAGTATAATTGATATTCATATTTTTCTTTTTTGTTAATTAATATTATGGTATGGCTTTCAAGCTACGTATTGGTCACTTATTATACAATGTGAAAAAGGGCCAAAAGTCGAAAATTGGGGTGATGGTCCTACCTTGAGTGGTATGTACCTCAAATATCTGGTTGATAACAATTTTCATTGTATGCATGTTACGGCAACTCGGATTAAATTTTATGCTCCTTCTTCATCAAGTAATAGATTTTACTTTATATTTTCCACTCATGTCATAAATTGCTCTTGAAATTTTCTAATGACGCTTTAATTACAAGGATAATGGTGGGCCAACATCGAGTGTTTCATAATTCAGCTTGTGATAATTTCTATTATATTTGTAGGAGTCCGAAAGGGGTTGTGGCCAAAATGATAATATACCAAATAATGTGCAATTTAAGCAATCTAGAAAGAGAAGAAGCTGCTCTCATGATGAAGACAAAAACAAAAGACCTTTAATACCATATTCCAATTTGGCTTATTGCTAAATGGCAATAAATTAAATGTTGACACCCTCTTAAACCAGACGGTGGGATTCGAAGAACACAAAGCAAAAAGCACAATGTTTCCAAAGCATCTGGTAAAAACAAAGTCCAAACACTTCCACCTTATGGCAGTGGTTAGATTGTTCTTGTTGGCCTATCTATTTATTCAAAACACCAACCCTTAAACTCTCTAACCTACCATTGCCAAAAGAAAAGGCAAAACTCATTTAAGAAAAAGGTAGGACAGAAAAAGAAACACCAACACCTGACTCTTAGTACTTTTGATGAGTAATATAGAGTCCATTTTGGTGAGAACTGAGAAGCCACCCAACTCCTCCCTCATTTCCTCCCCCTCTCCCTCTAGTGGCAAGCTTCCAAAGGAACAACTCCAAATGGAAGTTTCATGCAAGATTCTCAGAAGATCAACTCACAGTTTTCTCCGAAACTATCATTACTTCACCTCAACAGCAGCTTTTCTAGCATTTCCTTTCTCAGCTTCTATACTCCTCTCTCAGGCTGTAGTCCCAACCCCTTCATCTCTCTTGCCTCAAATCTACACTCGCCTAAGGATTCTCTTTGATGCTGCTGGCTTTCCTTCCTCATCAAAGTTGTTTGCCATTCTCAACCTTAAGGTTTCTCAAACAATCACTTCTTCAATCTTTACCCTTCCTTTCACCCTCACCTTTCTCCTCGTTGCAAAAGCATTCATAATCCAGGCTCTCAATCACAACAAACCAACTTTGCAGCCTTCCTTCAGTTCAGTTCTATCCCTTTACAAGCCCCTCCTCCATACCTACTTCTGCAACTGTTTCTTGATTCTCTCAGCAAATGCAACTACTTTTGGTCTCATGTTTTTGGCCTTCGGCTTCGTTGAAAGATTTGGCTACTCTTCCCCCGGTAACCTCATCCTCTTCATGTCAGTAGCTGGAGCAGTTCTCTTTTCTGTGATTCTGGCCAATGCTCTTGTCATATGCAACATGGCACTGGCTCTATCTGGCATGGAGGGACATGGTGGGTACTTTGCAATTCTTAAAGCTTGTCTTCTCTTAAGGGGAAGGACATCAATGGCTTTGTTCCTGGCACTGCCTGCCAATGTTGGCCTTGCAGCCATTGAGGCCTTGTTCCAATTCCGGATTGTAAGGCCCTATCATATTGCTGGAATGGCAGGGCCTTGTGTGGCTTTGGAGGGGATTTTCATTGCTTACCTCTACTCGATCTTCATCATCCTTGACACAATTGTCAGCTGCATATTCTACAAAAGCCTTAAGACAGGATCGTGGATCCATCAGGAGGACAAATATTTGTTCAGGATTGAATTCCCAGATGAGGACCAGTACGGTTACACGAGCACCAAGGAACTACCTTAAGTAGCATATGGTGGCAAGTTATTAATTTGGTTAAGGTTTTTCTTCGCGTTTCATGAGGGAGAAGGATCGACCAGTTATTTTAAACTGAGTACAGAAGGAATTTACTATTCATTGATGTTGCTTGAAGGAAATCAAGCAACTTTGAAGACATAAAGATTTTCAATTGAGCGACCTCAGCTCAACCATGTGCAAAGCCAAAGAAGTTAGAATCTCAGACACCATTTGATATAAATGAAATGCAATTATGTTATATTCTCATACTATATCTTTTGTTTTAATCTCTTTTACATTGTAGATTAGCAACTAGCAATCTTTTACAGTGTGAATAATACAAATGCCTCCCTTTGCCTTCTCTGTGTGCAACTGTCTCTGGTTTTCTAGTGTTTATTCATCGAATGAAAAATCAACAATGGTTTCTCGGACTTTTGTACCCAAGAACTAGCCTCAGCCTCTTAACTAATGAAGATGCAAGCTAGGATGAAAATGTATATCCCTCCCTCACCACTAATACCATCCTTCCACAGACATAATTAAGCAATTGTATTTGTACAAACAAGAATCAGGGCGGTGCTAAATTCAATCAAACAATCTTGAATGACCACGTCAAATGAAGTGACACTATCTCTGAATTTTCTCTGTTATTCATATCAATCCAATATTGCAAATTTCTTGAACTCCTGGGAGAACTGAAAAATGAAACTAGCATTTCTAACTGACCTGCTCCTCTTATGTTACAGTAACAAGCATACTTTCTAGGATCTCACGAGGCACAACACAACTGCATAATTTCATAATCTTGGTCTGGCCCACGATTCCTATCATGTGATGAATCACCTAAAAATTTAAATCTTATGATACATGCATGGATTGAAGGGAGAGGTTCCATATATGGAATACCAACTCAGATGATTCATTGTTTTTAGTTGTTGTTTTTTTTTTAATTTGCTTCTACCATTTCAGACAAGGAATTTGAATTTTTTTGGAGGATAGGAACTTGAAATATTTTATAAGCGCTAAGGTTAAATTAAAAAGAATTGGAAGAGCATTACTAAAAACGCATTATCACGCAAATGCATTCCTATTGTTTCTAATATAAGGATTTCAAACTGGCACATCCTCGTTTCATATACTCACTCCATTTGATTATTTTATTATTCTATTTTGTTCTTTAAAAAAGATTAATTAATATAAACATATATAGTCAATTAATAATACTATAGTTTTTTATGCTATCGATTAATAAACATATATAGTCAATATACAAATAATTTGTAATTAAATGGCAATATAAATTGTTACATCATATATTATTTAATTTTGAAATAAATGTTTCACATTCATGTTTTCTGATTTTGTTTTGCAGCCTTAAGTCGTTTTCCACCTGAAGATAATTACAAGGAGCAGCATTATATATGATTTATACAACATATTTGAAGCTATTTTCATTCGGTCAAAATCTTCTCATTCCATATGATTCATGATTAACAATTAAAAAATTAGCCTCGTGATTCACAATTAAGAATAATAATATTGGTTACAATACAGGGACCTGATTTCTACCTTCTCTCTTAACCTGACAGCTATACAACATTTTGTCGAGGGTACCTATCAAAATCTCTATGAAAAAGGGAGCTAATTTCTATGTTACACGAGAAAGAATTGAATCCTAAAGGAGAGGGATAGAGCTTTATACAAGGTGTCATGGTACTACGGTTGGGGTTGGACTATGGTGCTTCACAAATCCAAAAGGCAACTGCTGTGGTGCCACAAAAAATATGAAGTGAATGATGCATGCCAATGGCTGTTCTACTGCCATAATATAAGACATGCCCTGCTACAAAAATTCTTCTTGAACCAACATTTACAGTATACACTGGACGCATATAATCACAGTAAGCATCCACTCTGCATCTACATCTGGGAATTTGCAGGGTATTCTCACAAAAATTATCAGTTGGCCACATAAATCCCATTTCAACAGCATGCCATCAAAGAATCAACTCTCCTAAGCCTGTTGTATTTTCAATTCCACAGGATGCAGGCTTTCATTATTCCAAGCCAATGTATCAGCTTGAAAGGCTAATTGCCACATCATCTTCATCATCATCATTGAAAGGGAGAGGCTTCTTTACTGATCTCGGAAGCATTCCCCTTGCTCGGGTACATTCCTGCTCTTTGGCAAGAGTGTGATGTTTGATGCAAAGGAGCAGAAAATCCAGTCGTCAACTATCTTTTGCACCCTTTTTTGTCAAGTTAACGCCCTTAGCCTTTTCCATTTCAGCCTCCTTCTCAGCTTTCTTCTTCTCTAACTCTGCTTGTTTGCAATTTTCTTCATGTGCTTTCCGAAACAACCTTATAAAATTTAGCAGGGTTGTAGTAACTGCAATTGTTAAACCAACCAATAACAAGTTAGCTTGAGTATAACAGAAAATGCGAGAATGTATTTCTGTTATGTTTGTAAAGCCTTTTCAAACATAACAGAAATACATATGACTGATGAAACTTCTTTACATTTAGATTTTCCCTCTATTTAACTAGTTCTGTTCTGTAGCAGTGCTTACACATGGATCCAACGAGGAAAGGAATTTCTATTAATTCAGCAACTCATTACCACATCTTTCATTTTAAAGAAGGATTTGAAATAGCTCAGTACATTTCCATTAGAAACTTTTAGAATTTGAGTTTAGCCTACATCAACCTTATAAGGATTACATTGGTAATATTTCAAATTGATATGCAATATAAGAACCCTTCCTCACACAAAACACTGAACATCTATAGTGTTAACAAATGCAGTTAATTCAACAACTCCCCCTAGTGCCAAGGAATGGACATCTACAGTGTAAGGTGACACAATAATAGATCTAGGATAGACTCTAATACTATCTTAGAACATGGATTTAAACTTAACTTCATCCCACAAACTAGTTCATAAGTTTGCTATAGGAGTCAAACAGGACATCAGTGATATCTCTACTCTAGTTAATGTGAGACTCGATAGAAAACATTAATAAATAAATACAGGCATGCTTCCTTCCATAACCTTAGACAAGAAAATCACATTTCTAAAACATCCTAATTTCTACAAAATACATACTTGTCTCAACCACAAATGTAACAGGTCATGAATACTATCACAAGAAACATTACAGGTTAATATTCTATAATATCATGAAAAAAGGATGTGTTTTGAAGAGCTTATTTGGATTTATCTGATATAAGACTTTGTCTACATATTTGGGAGAGCTTATGATTATTATCACGAATTTAAGATCTTTAGAATAGCTGAAAATTCTTGCAGCTCATTTGAAAACAGTTTAAGCCTATCTTCCATTCTACTACAGAAATGACTTATTAATAAGTTCTTACATGATATTTAATAAGCACTTAATGAAGTTGTTACCAAACACACCCTAAATAACCAGTGAAAAAGACCAGTTCCTTCGTATAGTACCAACAACATAACCATGTCAGTCACCAACTTACCTTGCTCAAAAGGGCAACGAGCAGGATCCTCACCAAAATATAGGGCAAGTGCATCAGCATTTCTACCCTGTCCATAGGCAAATTATACAATCTTTATATTTCTTCATATGGGTGCATAATGTACAAAGAAGATAGTAAGCATATTACCACTACAGAATATAGGTTTGTTAGAGATGCCACCTCTGACTCAGATACACCAATAAATTCTTTCAATTTCTGAACAGAACATTAACAAAAAGTATAAGGTAATGAAAATGTAAACTGGATAAGACAAAGTAGAATTATATTCATCCATGTAAATATGAAGAAAAATGTGACACTGATTAAAAAAATTAAAGATCCACTTAACTTCAGCTTGACACATGTTTATTCAAGGCTAAAGCAACAATTGAAAATTTGTATTTGCTCATCACAACAAGGAGATAATAGGATTAAGAATCTGATAATTAGCAATGCTGGCAAGAAAAATGTTCAGACACAGAACAAAGTGAAAATCGGTAAAGAAAAGCATTTGGAATTGTTGAGAAATATTCATGGTGTAAATAGGAAAGTTCAAGTAAATAATTGCCTAAGTCAAAGCACGGTGTTTATGTCAACAATATACAACTTTCAAAAGCATTAAAATCAAGAAACAATGAGCATACAAAAATTCCAGAAACACCAAAGCTTATCTTTCTCTCCATATCAGAAATCGTGACTTGTTTGAAATAGCCATAAGCAGAACACCAACAACAAAGAACACAATCCTATCCAAACTAGCTCAGGGAATGAGTCACTCCAAAACATGAGTAAAAAGTTCTAACTGAATAAAATAAATAGCATATAAGCACCTAACAACTGCACCCCAAAACTTGGAAGGACACAACTGTTTTGGTACCAAGTCACTTAAGAACAGCTGCCGTTTCCTTTTTGAAATACGAGTTTGGAATTTTGAGCTTCTTCTGGTTTTTTGTAGTTCAATTCTACCACCAGGTGGGAACCCCATAATCCAACATACCCTCATAATAATTTCAACATTTGTAATTTACATTAACTATTTCTTAAATCATTGAATTGATCCCTTTCATTGAATTAAATCTGGAAGGTAAATTAAAAGTACACATACTCAAGCTGAAATCAATAAATAACCCTAGCAACCCAAGGATTTGGCTCCTCTAAATTGAGGAATCCCCATCACTTTAGAGGAATAGAATAGAACCTAGTCTGCTATCACCATCGATATTTGAGGAAAAGTCAGTTCCCATTGTTAGCCATTTTCCTTACAAATCAAAGGAAAAAACATTTGCCAGCGTCTGGAAACTGTTGTTTAAATCCACAATAAATTCCCTTACAAGTTGTATCAGAGGTATTTTACTTCTCCAGAACAATATGACCTCTTACATAAAGAGGAAAAACATTACAAACTGTCAGCACAAAAATTGTATAGTGTAAAATACGATTAAATGTACATTTATATCTCATGCTAAAAATCAATGGCTGTGATAAGTAATCTAACAAAAGACTGTCAGATACAATGAACAAAACCAGATGAGAAAAAAATATGCAAGAGTTTGCAAATCTTCACATCTAACAGGAACAACCCATGCACAATCATCAACTTTAATAATTGCATGAACAACCACTACTTGAATTCACTTTAAAAATTAAACTTTTCCCTTTTATTATTATAATTATTATCGTGATATAATGAAGAATCAAGAGACTGACATAAAAATTCTTAACACCTCATGGAAAACTGCAGAAACAGGTCCATCATTCGCAGATGCAGCAAATTCTTGTTTAACTTTTTCTAGTCCCTTGATGATTGCCTGCATCTCTTCTGCTAATGACTTCAATTGTATCTGAAAGAAGTGGTGCGCCCAGTCATCAATACACATTGTAATATTATTACCCAAAACAGGTAGTTAAATTGTTCCATTGCAACAGCTTTTTCTTTCATCCATAAATGTAAATATCACTTTAACTTTGATCCATGAGTAAATGAAGGGTGTAATCATCCTACTTTTACTGCATCAAGCAAATAGCAGCTTGTAAGCCTTGTACACATTAAGAAATGAAAGCAAGAGAAGCCGTGTAAATAAAAGGGATTTTGCAGGAACATGACATGTGACCTCCTAGATGATATTTCACTTGATTGTGATTACAGGTAATTGCATATTTCACTAAGGTTTCTAAATGTGCACGCTTGGAAATTTAAAGAAAAATTCCTTTTTGTAGAACCCACAACCAGTGTTTAAAAAAAAATGGACCAGCCAATTGGACTGGTTTGTTGGAAAACAGACATATCATTGAGTTGATTCAATTATTGGATAAAAATGCTATTAAACAATACACACACACACACACGTAAATACACATGCACATTTTTAGATTTTAGCTTACACAGTTTGTTATAAACAATATATTTATTTTGCATTGATATTTTATATTCTTTATTACTTGTTATATATATATATATATATATATATATATATATTTCTTATTATGTTGTTTAGAAATTTTTTTAATACTATTAATATTTAATTTATCTTATATATTACGTTTTATTTAGTTTTCCACTCTAACTATGTAATCATTATATCACACAATATGCTTTATTAGTTTATTATATTATATATTGATTTTGAAATAAATTTTATATTTTATATTAATTATTTAGTATTATTCTTTAATTTCATTATATCATTACTACAATGAGTTGATTATATTGTATTATTTTTACATAAAAAACAAAGAAAAAAGTTGTAGGACTCAAAATGGGGCCAACAATTCACAATAGGCAGGCATGAGATATAAAAAACACTGAAACCCAGCCCCACCTTTCAGCAGCTTATGAAAACACCGATACTTTAATGTGCATCATGTATATCGTATCTAATACTGATACCCTATGACTCTGCACAGATACATAATGATATGAAGAATGAAAACCTACGAAGCAGCAATACTTTTATCGGTTTCTAGTATCTCGACAGCAATACTTTTGAATACTTCACCGGAATGTGTTGGTGAAGTATCGAAGCTTTTAAATCATTTATATCCAATAAAACTACAAGAAACATACAAATGTGTGATCTAGAAACACAAAAACATTCTCTTTGTAAACCAAAGAGGGAAATTGTTTTCTTTATGAACAATTTCAAAAAGTAATGAGATTGATAGCAGTACTCCAATATGTGAATGCTAGAAATTAATTTACAATGATAACCACTGATATTTTTTATTCGGCAATGTCTAAATGTGGTTTTTAGATTTGCACAATTGCAGTTATATATTTATGTTTCATAAACTTTAACACTTTTAAATATGTATATTGCATGCATTGTATTATAATAAATGTATCATTATGTTGGATACACATCATATCTGATACATGTATGGAATCACTGCATCATAGTCAATTGCTATTAGCTAGGTTTGGCCCAAACAGACAAGAGAGTGCAAAGGAGTGGCAGGTTGCAATATTGTCAACAGCAAAAGTGGCGGTGTCATGCTCAATGATAACAAATGTCACAGCCATGCCTAGGGACATAGAAGGTCACATAGCCTTGTTTGTCGATGGTGCAACTAGACGAGCAGTCAATACGAAGCCCACAAATCACCACAATTTTACACAATTTACCTTGTGAATGGAGTTGTGACAGCCACAACATCCATGTGCTTAGTGATGTATTGGAAGTCCCACATCGACTAGTGATAAGACCAATTTAAAATATATAACTGAGTGCAAAGTCAGTTTTGTAAGGTTGAATTAGGCTTAAAGTCCACCTCTTAACATAAAATCAAAGTCATGGGTTAAAGTCTATCCTAGTGAGATTTGCTATTAGTTAAGCATATTGTTCCACTAGCTATCAAGCAGTTATTGAACCATCATTAATGTCTAGTCTCACACACGAGATGTATATACCTCGGCGTGAGGGAATTGTGATGGAAGTCCTACATCGACTAGAGATAAGGCGGTTTCATAGTGTATAAGTGGGTGCAAACCTCACCTTACAAGCCAATTTTGTAGGGTTGACATACACTTAAAGTTCACTTCTTAACATGATATCAGAGCCATGGTTTAGAGTATATTCTAGTGAAATTTGTTGTTTGTTAGACATATTGTTCCACCTCCACACACGAGATGTATGATGAATGCATTGGGAGTAACAAGGGCCAATATGCTCCGCCTCCTCAAACTCAAGACCATTGATTTGGCTGTAACAATCAGACACTTCTTGATATTTACTAAATGAGGGATTTAAACTCACATAGATTCCTAACAATCTCCCCCTCAAGTGGGTCCCTTCCATGTTAGCACACTCCCCCTCAATTCTAACCTTTACTTGTAATCTTTTTTATCTTAATGAGACATGCTTACCTGAAACACTTGCTATGAAGACTTCCGACATAAAGAATCCACAAACCTAGGACTCGTCACTGGCTCTCTAAACTGATCACCAAGACGAACCATAGATTCTAATACCACTATTGGGTCTTTCAAGAAGGGATTCACTAGACAGATTCAATATTAATGAATTTTTAGTAACCCATATAAGAGATTATGATATCACCACCAACTCAACCTTAAGACAATGAATTCGTGAGTCTTTTTTCTTGTATGTTATTCAACTTTCTTATTTGTAACTAATGTGGGACTCAAACTCACTTGGATTTCTAAGGTTAATTCATGTGCTCAATGGTTTCTTTCACACACACACACATGCTGATTCAAGGACGTAAATTGTTTTCTTAGTCACTTCCTAGTTCACCAGCATCCAAAACCAAGTATATTGGTCTTGTAGACTTAGTTACAAAAACTAGAAGGAATGTGCTCACTTTTACAAATAATGGGGCAAAGTGAAATTGAACCAACGAATCAGGAAATAATGCTAAGTCGACCTTTCTTGCTTATAAAAAACCAACAAATTAATCATCACCTTAGTGGAATCTTCCAGGCTAACAAGGTCTAGGTGGAAATCAAGGAGTTTGGGTGACTTTTCAGCTATGACCTATAGCCAAATAGGGGAGGGAAAAAGGTTAGCAACCATATAATATCTTCATTTGTTGCAATTGACACTTATACCTTGCAGAGATAATGCATCAGTGTCATTCTACTGTTAGAAGCACGAGTGTCAGTGAGCTTTAAAAGGCTATCTAACTTGAATCCAACTGCAGATCCTGGAAAAAATGAAATAATTTTATATTAATGCTTATCCATAAACTGGACATTCTACACTAGATAAGATCTAACAGAATCGAGTAAACCATTGACGGTTAACAAATAGATTTTGGCACCTTCTGTCAGTACATCCAGCAACAAATAATGAGAATGAAATTGCCACAAGTATAAAAAAACTTACAGACTTACCCCTTGCTGTTCCTTGATTCAATGTATTACCCAAATAAAGTATTTTCTTCATTATCTCCTTCAGTTTAGCAGAATGTCGGACCTATTACCCAGAAAAGGGTGCATATAGTCAAAGAAATTCAAACAAAACAACATTCATCGGTAGGAAATGTAAAGTACCTCTTCACAGGCAGAGTTAACAGTGTTTAAACTCTTCTTAAACTCCGTAAGCTGCATAACGTGCAAAATATGATATCAGAAGGGAAAAGGCCAAATTCACTGAACATTCAGAAGTCAAAAATATATTACAGAAATCATCAGACCTGGGCACCAAACTGAATCTTGAACGCAAATACTCTTAATTTTGACTCCACCCTTGGCACCTTCATCAACTCTATAAAAAACTGAAACATCACAAAATATATTAAATGTAATATAATATACAATAGGACTTAAATGGAAAAAAATCCAAAAGAATTTATTTAATAAAAAAAAAAAAATTTTAATACAAAAAAAAAAAAAGGCAGCATAAACAAACTGTCATTTCATTATATAAATGAACTTTGAATTTATATACATTGACTATTTAATAAACCAAATTGCTTACCAACATTTTCTTTTCTATTGGATGTGGATAACAGGTTAGGATCATCATGTCTCTCTATTTAAATATTGATTTAATTACATTTATTTTATTTCTTTATCTTCCCAGATCTTGACGAGATTTTCGTATCAGAATCAGATTTCATGTCCTTTACATCAATATTTAGTAGGAAAATTGTTACTTGCGAGGATATTTCATTTTTTATTTTATCAATTAGGATCATTGTTAGATATAATATAATCCTATTAATTAAAGATATCTCATTAACCTATTAAAAGGGCAGGCTTGAGTAGAATATAATAATGAGAAATAATTTTTAAAAGAAACTTGGATTAGTTTAGGAGGAGCTTTGTGAAAGACAAGTGTGTGTTCCCCCCTTTAACGAAAAGATTACAAGAAAGAGTCCCCCATGACCTGATCCTATGCAAAGGTTCATGGCAAACAACTGCCAACATTAAAGATTCTAGTATTTCATCCCGACCAGAAAATGAAAAACCCAAAAGCCAAATACTCTAAACTTAACCCACAATAACTGGTCAAAGATCTTCAGGGAACCCAATTTCCACCAAAATAAAACAGAACACATATTACTGATTACAAAGAAAAGCAAGAACAAATGAGAACCAATTTCAGAACAATGATCAGCTCTTAACACCAAATAAACACTTTTATTTGAATAAGTATGAAAATAAAAGACTACTTCACTTCATTCTGCACAATAAAACTTGGATTCTTTAAGCCCATAGAAAGATTTTTGTAGTTTGCTAAACAATCCAAACTATCCCAAGTAACGAGTATGGGAGGTTGTTTTCATATAAACTTCTTCAAGTTCTCTATGAAGAAAAACATTTGTTTATATCTAATTGGAAAAACTGAAGTCTCACATCAACTAGAGACAAGTTAAAGATTATACAACACTCTTTCATGAAGAATACCCAAGTGCCTTGGGAGAATTCTTCAATAAAAGTAACAAAATATAAAAAACTAAAGAAAGAAACAACTTGTTCCCTGTACATCTGAATAGATAATTAATAAAGGAAAAATCAACACATCCTTAAACTTTCTTTGGAAGGAAGAATGGACGTATTGACCAACTGACATAACTCAATTCAAAGTTATCTTTGCAATCATTTGCTTCAATCTTGACAAACTTGGGAGACCTAATAGTTCATAAAGAAGGTTTGAAGAGTTGTAATTCAATTTATAAAAGTATTTGATTAAAGGTAATAAAAACCACATGATTGTTGCCCAACACCATTTACTCGTCCTAGACCAAGTTTTGGCATAGTAAAAGAATCAACATCAAAGGTTACTATGCAATTTAGAGAGCAAGTTGGCAAAGGGATATCAAACTAAAAGGAACGAGAAAAAAACCCTAGCACCATGTTGGTAATCTAAGCTGATCTTCTGAGAGGTTTAACATTACAGAGTTCAGTAGTCTCAAGAATCTTTGTATCTCTATTAAGTAGGGTATTGTTCCTTCGATCATTCCTGCTTTTTGGATATCTCCTTCTTGTCATTGGATGACATGCAATATTGATGGTGCTGCTCATGGTGCTCCTGGTCTTGCTGCGTGCGGGGGTTTGTTTAGGGATATATCTGCTACTTCTCTTGGATATTTTACTATCTTGCTGCGAAAAAAGCTATATATGTAGAAATTTTTGGTGTTACTCATGCTGTTGGAATAGCAGCTGAGAAAGAATGTCATAGCCTATGGCTAGAAAGTGATTCTATGTTGGTGATGCAAGTTTTCTCCAAACATTGGAAGCTTAAGGGTGCAAGATTTCATGTGTCTGACAAACTCGTTTATTTTGGGGTCACACACAGATGTACTAGGTGATGGGATTTTATTCCTAATTTTATTGTTTGATTTCTGTGGGAATAGACTGAATCTACCTAGTTATGTTTCTTGAGTAGGTTTTGGTATAGTTCCCCATTCGATTTGTATTTTTTACAATATTTGAATTTGAGTATGCTGCAAATGACAAATAATTTGAGATGTCAAACTAGTTGGCATAGAAACTTATATAATTTTTTGCATAGCTTCTTTATTTTGTTTTTAAAAAAATAAAAATAAAAAATCCGATATTTTTTCTTATTTAAACAATCAAGCGAAATAATTTTGGCCCCTTGATGAACAAAAGACATGTGACCAGTAATGAACAGCGATTAGTTCGGGGGTAAATGATATGAGAGCTGTTATTAACAGTACACAAATGAACAATACAGGTGGGCCAGAACCAAAGATTCAACCTCCAAGGCTTTTAGGATCTGATTTTCTCAAGGCACTTGCTTGCAAGATCTGATTCAAGAGTAAATACATTTCAGTGCTAGTCATAAGACTTTAAAAGCCAGTCATTAGACTCATTCAAACATTTACAATTGGTGTTCTACCAATCAATCTATGATAAACCCATTAATCACAAACCAAAGAAAATCCTTCATAATCTTCTCAATCCAATAAGCAACTGCCATGGAATGCAAAAGAGAGAGATAATACAGTGGATGCACGGTGAATGTTATGCTTTAAAGGGACATGAGAGAAGGTCGGATTAGCAAAAAAGAGAATTAAAATGGATGTGTAGCCCTACACAAAAGGATAGAATAATGGTTATATACAAGAAAAGGTTGCGTAGCACAACTAATTAAATTAAGATGGATTGGGCATTACAAAAATTACCACAAGAGGTGTTAGTCAGAAGAGTAGATTGCACGATTTATACTATTATGCAAATGAGGAAGACCAGAAAAGATATTGTGGGGAAGTAGTCAAAGGTAGATCTCAAGGTAATAATATTTCTGAAATTTTGTTTTTATCCGTGCTGAATGGCATCATGTGGTCCACGCAGTTAAGCTTACCTAGTAGGATAAGGCTGTTATTATAAAGGTAATTGAGTTCCAAAATATAAGTACAACCACTCAAAAAAGGAAGCACCCCTCCAACATTTGAACCACTTGAAAGTCTTTCTAATGACAAATTCGTAAATGGAATGAAAAATTCATAAAATAGGCGAAGAACTGTCAGAATTTGACGAAACAACAAAAAGGAAAAGACATGCTTAAAATCTAAAAATCTCTACTAAAGCAATTTCTGAAAGGTTCATCTTTAACCCCAAAAAAATAATTCAAAACATTCAAGAATCGAAAGAGAATTAGTAAAGAAATCGACATTGACATCCAAATCCCTTGCCGCCAATTAATTGTTTTGTAGTGCTTTAATCTCAAGATTTGATTATTTATAACTTGAGTCCAGCAATTACTAAATTTGATTAGACTACACATCAATTATTTTATGCAATCATTCCTCCCACACCCTCTCAGATTTTGTTGCAGACAATGCTGGCTAATATTATATCAATATTATAAGTTTAATTTTTCCCTCAACTTAAATTGTGAGAATTGTATCCCATCACCAATATTCTAAAGGAAATTTTACTTTCAAATAGCTCATTCATCTTTCATGAAACCTGACGACACCACAGCATGAGTCAAATACATGTAACAGTAAAAGGAAGCATGTATAATTCTATTACCCACAATCTCTGCTCATAACCAACATATATATTATTATGACTGAAATAAATTATTGCACACACACCTGTTCACACTTCCCCAAAAGTTCCTTGTCACCGGTGTATGCCTAAACAACCATAAACAAAAGGAATCTAAATTAGAAATCAAACAAATCAGAGCAAAAGGAACAAAGTAATAGAAGATACCACAAAATAGAAACTTTAGGGCACATTTGGCAGGGTTGCAAGTTTTCAGCTTTTGGTTTAAAGATGCAATTTCAAAATCAAAACAAAGCATGTTTTACAAAAATGTATTTGAAATGGCTTTTAACCTATTTTCAAAACCAAAAACAAAAATATTTATGAATTTAGTTTTCAGTCTTAGAAAACCACATCTCACTAGCTTTGACTATGGTCCTTCCCGTCATCATCATCACAGCCACTGGCACATCACCACCATCATCACTATTAACATTTTTGTCACCACTTTTACTGTCACAGACAACACTACTACCTCAACATGTACCACCATTATGAATGTTGTTATTACTTCAAGAACCGTCAATAATAATAACACTACTACTTCCACAACGATTGTTATTTTTACTACCACTACTAACATGGTCAACGCTAAAACATATCTTTAAACTAATTTTAACCAAATAGGGAATTTTTAATCTAATTTATTTTGAAACTAGAAATTAGAAAAAAATACTGATTTTCAAAACTAAAAAATCGCCCAAAACTAAACTAATTTTTACAACTAAAATGGTTGCAGTTTCTAAAACCTTTTGGAATTTACAACTCAGAAACGAACCCATGATTGTTAAAACAAGATGTAAGTAGGGATAAATTTATTAAAATTCACCTTTATAAGATCCATCTCCTCTTTTGTAGGACAAAACTTAATAAGATTTTCCACTTGATCAACATCTAATACTGACTCGTCCAAAGCCAGTACTGCAGCCTGAAATATCACATTAGAATGTGTTATAAAAGATAATACCTGGCACTGATAGATACAGGTTGAGATTTAGAAGTTAGAAAAGTTTGAAGCAGATTGGAGTCCAAAAGAGTGTTTATCTACTATCAGCAGCCTTCGGTACTAATCTTCACCATTTTAAGAACCAATCTTAATGAAAGCAAAAAAGAATTATTTCACCATAGTGCTTCAAGCGAAAACAAAAACAAAAAAAGAAAGCAGTTATTTTCATTAAAAAAAATACTTATCTTAAATAACTATTCCTAGATGATTGTAAAAAAATTCCCACATCAAAGTATCAGCTTACCATCATATCGGGAAGTGGCATCTTAACCTTAGTGAGCATAATTTCAGTATTATTAGCCCTCCTTAGATCAACCTAAAATCAATAATATAAACACACAAGTTATTGATAAGTAACATGGAATCAAATAAAAATCAAGTCAATGAGTTTATGTTGTTAGCTTTAAGCACTAACAAGAAGAAAACTGCGCCAATATCACTTTACAATTCATCAAATATACAGTATCAGAATTTTAAATTATGGAACATGAGAGACAGTGAAGTGAAACGACAATAACAGAACAATATTTTTCATTCACTAATTTAGTACGGTCAATAATACTAAATTTTAAATGAATCACCTATCAAGGTGCAAAGCAAAATTACAAATCATGGTGACTTATATTTGTAGATGGAGTTACTAAATGAGAACCCATCAAATCATCTCTAAGGCTTATATCAAAAATCAAGTTTTGAAATATTCATGTGTGTTAGAATAATACCAAGGTGACTCTGTCAGTTTTAGATCCAGCAGACTTGCCCTTCCCTCCAGATTTTCCACCAGCATCAGCAGGTTTTGGAACATTTAAGGAGAAAAGCTTCTCTAGCTCTGAAAAATCGAACTCTGGTGCACTAAGAACATAAAACCAGTCATTAAAAAATATAGGGATATAAATAAGATGGAGAAAATAATACAATTATACATAATTGAAATGTTTCAGCAGACATGTTCAACAGTAGAAAAGACACATTACATTTGTGGTTCTCCATGTCTTTGTAATTCTTCCCATAAACTTCCTTGTAGTGCCCTTGTAACCTTGCTCCAATGTAAAGGCTTTAAAGAGGATTTACGGGGTGCAGCCCCTGTAGGGCGCGCATACCCACGTCCTCTCCCTCTTGGATCAACTCCAACATTTGCACCTTTTGCACCAAAGGGCGGAGGTGGCGGAGGTCCACCCCCAGGAGGTGTAGGAGCACCAGGAACACCTGGGGGAGGTGGAGGAGGAGGTCCTCGACCGCCTGGAGGAGGAGGTGGAGGAGGTGGTCCTCGACCACCTAGAGGAGGAGGTGGTGTTCCATACATTGATGGAGGTGGTACTCCGTACATTGGAGGTGGAGGGGGTGGTGGGGCTCCACTTGATGGAGGAAGAGGTGGTGGTGGAGGTGGAGGTGGGGCTCCATTTGATGGAGGAAGAGGTGGTGGTGGCGGTGGCGGAGGTGAGGCTCTACTTGATGGAGGAAGAGGTGGTGGTGGGGGAGGTGCGGCTTTATACATTGGAGGAGGTGGAGGAGAGGCCACACTTGATAGAGGAAGAGGTGGGGAAGGAGGTGTGGGTGGAGGTGGTGGTGGTGGAAGAGGACTATTGAAAGGAGGTGGAGAGGGAGGTAATGAAGCTTTACCAAAAGGAGGGGGAGGTGGTGGCGGAGGTATAGGTAGTGTAGTTGAATATACATGAGAATTAGCTATAGGTGGTGTAGCTGAATATATATGTGAATTGGCTAGGGGAGGGGGAGGAGGAGGCGGAGACAGGGGTTGAGTTGGAGGTGGGGTTGCTGGTGGAGGTGAACCTTTATGTAATGCAAATGGGGGTGTTGGGGGAGGAGGGGGTGGAGCCCTGTTTGTTGAAGCTGTAGGAAACATGGGAGGAGGGGGAACCGATGGAATTTCATTTTTTGGAAGAGGTGATGCTAGTGGTGTCAAAGGAGGAACAGATGAAACTTCATACCTTGGAGGTGGTGGCGGTGGAGGAGGCTGTGAAGGGATCACTGCAGTACCCACTTGAGAAACATCCGGTGTAACGGCAGTGCTTGTAAATGGAAGAGGGGTTGTAGAAACTGTTAAAGATACACTAGTCTCTCCAACCATTGATGAAGCCACAGATTTCCTAGGGGATGGAAAAGGTACTGAGCTCCCTACATTTTGCCCAAAAAAAGGGGGCGGGGGTGGTGGTGGGGGTGGAGGGAAAGGAAGAGAAGTTTCAGGTGGTCTCATAAATGTTGTTAAAGTTGAAGGTTGAAATGGTGGCGGTGGAGGAGGTGGTGGTGGTGGCATGAGGGACCCTTTTCCACCCAAAGAAGATGGAGAGCCTTGAGCTGATACATCATCCTTTAATGATGAGGATTCAAAAACTTGAGAAGAGACTCTACTGTGAGCAGGAGGGGGAGGGGGAGGTGGTGGGGGAGGCTGTAGCAGTTGTTCTGAGCTCTGCTCTTGCGCTGGAGTATCTGACTGAAAAGATGTCTCTTTAATTGATGACAATGGTGACGGTAGACCTTTTTCATCTATTTCTGTTGCTATATAGCCAGAAGATTTTGAAGTGACCACTTTCCGGCTTTTTAGGTCATTTGTTTTGTCAATAGAAGCAACAACTGCAGAAACAACAGGAGCAGATAAAGATCTTGTTTTGGAATCTTCAATTTTCTCTTTTGTGGAAGACAAATTTGTCAGTGCAGCTGGTGCACTATTATTCCTTGATGGCGGATAATAGACGTGCATTGAATTTGTATAAGAACCCTTGTTAGAAGGAATCCATCTAGTTACGGCATTTGGCTTAGCTTGTTTTGCCTGAAAACCATGGGTTTCTTGCTGTTTAATCTTTTGCTTTGCTGCAACTGTATCTCCAACTGGCTTCGAGTTGGATGGAGGTTGTTTCTTGGCAGTAGATGGAAGTACTTTACCAGATTTTTGTTCAGTCAAATCAGGCATCTGGTTCCCAGCCTTGGAGTCTAGCTCCTTTTCTGTTACCTCCTTATCTTCATCATATTCATTTTCAATGACTGCAAATTCCTGCTGCACATGCATGGTAACTTCCTTTGTTTCCAGAGGAGGTTTCATCATATCAGAAATAACTGCAATGGAAGTTGACTTAATTTCTCCATCATCGACAGCAATGTCCTTCACTGCATGAGGATCTGAATCTATGCTCCCATCAAATTTATAGTGAGCATCATCAATAGAGATGTCTTTCACAGTATTAATACCAGGATCCATCTTGTAAACCTGCTTGGCGATCTTGTCATCTGGCGGACAATCCTCAAAACTATGAGGATCAGACTTCTGCCTCCAGACCCCCTTATGAGTTTCATCATTCACAGCATTTTCATGGAAAGCCTGAGAATCATACTCTGTCTTACCTTCTTGTGCATCAATTACACTGCTGAAGATTTCTTCTACTTCATAGAACTCATCAGGTGAAGCACTTTCTGTCTCAGCACTCTCAATCTCATTTGCATCTTCACTCACCGTGACTGTGGTTAGATCAGGTATAACAGCATCAGCGTCCAAAAAAAGCACCTGATACAGATATGAGTACGTGTTCAACTCCTACTGCTCCAGAAAATGGCCTTTGTGGAAGAATAACAATAACTTACCTCTGCTTTGAAGTCCTTGGGAAATAGGTCCTTCGCCTCCCACAAAATATCAATTTCATCACGGCTCAGCATCAAAATATTTGACCGCACAAATGCAGTATGAAACATAACTCTAAACATCAATTCCTCGTGAACAAAATCATCACTTAAATGTATGCACTCAAGAACCACATCCCCTTGAACACGACAACGCAAGTCAATTTTCACGAGCATACACTCTGCCTGTGATTAAAATTTAATAAGAGGACGTCTATCTAATCAATTCACAATTCAGTATCAATAGTGGAAATTTATATGGCACCTGTAGGTAGTGGCGAACATGTTTTTTGGATTGTGAAGTTGAAAAAAGAAGCTTTGAACTTCTAGTGGCAGTAATTGAAGGGTCTTGACCATAAACACGTACAACGGGCCTGCAACCTTTTCCATCGTCAAATATTGGAAGGACTCTAAGAATCAGACAATCCAAGTATAAGGGTGTTTCCGATGGTGGCCACTCAGCTCCCAAACTTCTCCTGGAAATATACTGAAGATATCTTAAATGCGAAGGCTGTGGATTCAAAGGAGACAATATGTGTAGTAGTTCCCTTGGAGCTTGCTTGTAGACCATTTCAAGAGTCTTTTGCTCCCCACTGTACTGTTTCCTGTATAACAGAAGACCTGCTAGCATAAATGCCAGCACGGGCCAACCTCCCCTTTCACAATGCATCAAAAGCACATTTTGTTGCCCCTCCAGAGACAACCAGCTTTCACTTGATCGAAGGAAGTGATGGATCATCTCTAACGGCAGAACAGGACAACCCTCATACTGCCGAGGGTACTCCATAACTGTCATGTCATACTGAGAAAATATGTCTGAGATTTGGCTGCGTCTCTCCCCTTCTCTGAAGTTGAATACCATGAAAGAAGCATCTGGAAAGTGATCCTGTAGCTGAGCCACAATCCCCCCCATATAAACTCTATATTCTTCTTCTTCCAAGACATCCGGGGAGAAGCAACAATCAAAAACTGCAAAAAATGGGTATGGAATAGTCAGATACTACCAATTCGGTAACTAGGGTACTTATTTACAACTTTAAAAGTCATGTTTCATTTCAACAAGTTAGAAAAACCAAAGGCAATAAGCAAAGAAGAAAGAATTTCTTAACAGAGAACACTGTTTCATTTTGCCAGTACACATCTTTGCAACAAAGGGAAAAAAAGAGAATCGTTGCAAGCCATAAGAAAAATGTCTTAAAGGACAACACTCAATGGTCTCAGTTTAAAGAATCTTCCAAAACTCATCAAACAGCAACCTAATTGATAACTGACCACCATGAATCAGATAATGCTTTACTTTTCCTTCTCCAGAGTAATTAGTGTCCTACAATAAAGGAAGAGAAGAAACTAAAAAGTGCAAGTTAAAATAAAAATAAAAGGTCCACCCTGTTGTAGCTCATTACCAAAGGCATTGTTTTGAAATGACATTAATGAAATTTAACTAAATTAGCTTCTAAACATTAAAACGAGCCCTAAAAGCTACAAAATCAGCTGCCCCTTAACTTGGAGAGTTGAAAAAGTAACGGAATAATGCTTCCGGTGCATTCATGAGCTAAATTGTGCAGAGAAAACAGAACAATCAATGAAGAAATAGAAAATGGGCAAAGTAGAGACAAGAGGGAAATGGGGAGAAAGCAAACCATAAACTCTCTCGGAAATCTCCAGAAGCCGATCCGGCGGCTTCCGGTAGAAGAACCTTCTGAACAGCGCCATCTGATGGCGCTGTTTCTACCCCGATCGGATCCAAACCGGTAATTGGGTTGGTCCACCACCAAGATCAAAACTTTTTGCCCCCAACAATTGAAGCCGCAGATCTTGCAAATACCCAATTCGATCAGAGGCCAATAGAACTCGGAAATGCTCAATTCAGAGGCAGAAGAGAGCAAAAGCAAAGGTGGGTGACGTGATCCAATGAAAAGCTGAATTGAAGAAAAACAATAGTCAAAGAATTGAATTCTAAAATGAAAATAATAAATTAATAAAAAACGAATTGAAGGAGATAAAGGGTAGAAGAAAAATTGAAGTGAAGTATAAGTGGAATGCATAAAAGGTAATAAACCTTTATCTTGTTTCTTCTTTCTTTCTCTTTTTTTGGTAAAGCGGGGTGAGAAAATGTGATTAGAATGTGAAAGGGGAAAGGGGTAACGGAGAAGAGGGAAAGGGAAGAAGGAAGCGTAGTGGACTGAAAAGGAGAATACGAACACTTGTTGGAAGTTAGACCCGTCTCTCTTTCTCTTTCTCTTTCTCTTTCTCCTTCTCTCTCTTTGCCTCTGTGTTGTGTTCTGTCTCTCTGCAACTGCATACAGACAACATATTTTTGCGCAAGCTGGGGTTGATTGCACCCTTGTCTACGTGGTTGGTGACGTGGCACGTACATTCCACATCTCCCTTCGGACATGTTTAACTCCAACACATCCAAAATTTAACAGTTCACTTCTTAACGTAGTTTTCTTATACGTTTCGCTGTAATTTTTAACTTGTTATTATTTCATACATCTTTTTATTAACTATTTTAGTAATAATTATGTAAGTTTCACATTTTACATAATATCTGATTAGTTAATATTATAAAAATAATCAGTAATGGAAAACTAAACTCTTTAATATATATAAGAACATTTAATAGAAATTAATAAAACTTTTATCAAAAAAGTACCTATTAATCGGCTTGTATTATTTGAATTAGACAAATATATCAAATGTATAAAATATAATATATCAATTTAAACATCGGATATTGTTAAACATATATATTACTGTTAAGATAAATAATATAAATACAATATAATGTTCTAAAAAGGTTATCAAATTGGAACATTAAAATATAACTTGAAATTCAAGACTTTTTATTACACCAGTCCAGACTTGTTTAAAAATACATTTGATTGACTTTTAAAATTGAAATTCGTTAAAATATTTATATATATATATATATAATAAATTAAAATCTTGAACTTATAAAAAAACCAATCCTCTAACAATTTCAATTAGATTAACAATTAGGGATTAATTAATACACATAAATTTATCCGAACAACAATTCAACAATTTAGATTATATATCGTTTTGAATTTGGTTAATTTGGATTAACCTAATTATAGTCAGGTCAATTAACTAGTAGATAAATTCCAAAACTAATTAACTCAGCTTATATTTAATGTCAATAGTATCACTATAATTTAACTTAGCGAAAGTGTGTGTTAATAAACATAGTCATATTCTCGTACTGTGTCGCACCGTATTTGTTATCTTCTTAGCATTGATTTCGTGTATCTTTATACATCAGAAAAGGCAAAATACTTGCATAGTAAATATGTATACCTTTAAAAAGCATTCAATTTCCCTTAAATTTATAAAATAATAATAATAACAATAACACCACTTTTAGCTTTTGAAAAACTCACAATTCGTTATATTTTTAATAAAATGACATCTATTGTCTTTATATTTTTAACGAAATGTCAGTGGTTTCTATTATTTAATTTTAAAATAATGTATTGACTAAAATGTTATTAAAGATAAAAAATTTAAAAAAGGAAATTTAAAATTATAAAAATTAAATATTTTTTGTGAATAAATATTAAATGGCTTTTCATTTAATTTTCCTTCGAATGTCATTCATATTGTTTATTGTTTTAAAATAAACATTCCATTTCTTATATTACTAATATTAATGCTATCATTTAAAATTTTATTTAAAAAACTAAAATAGGCTTAATTAGTGATTTTTCTAATTTACTAGGTTGGTTTATTTTGTTCTTTTTATTATTTTTGGGCTAATTTAGTTTTTTAAGTTTTTTAAAAAATTTCAATTTAATCTTTTTTATTAAGTTGGTATTAATACTTTATCTCAAGTGTAAATTTATAAAAAAAATATTTTTTAATTTTTAAAAAATAAAATTTCACATGTGGTTGTGTCAATTTTATTGTTGTATATGTGTGATTATTTTCAATTTAATTTTTATTTAAAATTTTAATTCAATTTATTTTTTATTTATTTTAAAATAATTTAATTTTGTCTTTTCTAATTTGAGAAAAAATAATATTTAAACTTAATTACGGTTATATATACGTGAAAAAATATTTTTTAGAATTTACATCTTAAAACTAAAATACTAAAATTATTTAGTTTTTTATGTTTTTTCACTTGTAATTTTTTATATTTAAAGTTTTTTACATTTGTAAAAAATAAATTAATTTGATCTTAAATTAGAAATGACAGAATTGATACATTTTATAAAATGAAATTAAATTGAATTAAAATTTAAAACAAAGAAATTAAATGGAAAACAATACGTGACAATGACACTAACATGATGATATTGTCACATAGCACTACTCTAACTTGCACATGACGGTTTTTGTTTTTCTTAAAAAATAAATAAATAAATAAAAATATTATAAATTGATATGTGACATATACGAATGGTAATGTTAACTCAATGAAAATGACTAGATTAAATTTTAAAAAAAATTAAGGAATTAAATTGAAAAGAAAAATAGCGAAACCAAAATTAACAAATTAAAATTCGAAATCACTAATTAAATCAAATAAAATATAATGTGTGGTAATGTTATAATGATTAGTGTAATTTTTATTTTATCTTTTAAAACATTTACATATTTTATTTATTGAAATTTGAATTGATGCTATAAATACATTTTAAGTTTTATGACTTGACTAACTTTCGCTTTCTATATAAATTTGAAAACTTTTTGAATTTTTATAATTTATTTAGTGCTGAAAAAATTAGAAATTTCAATTAAATTTTTATCATTTAATTTTGTGATAGTTAAATACATGTCACGAGTATTAATTTCTCGTCATCTTACTTAATTGTCTTTACATGTAATTTTATGATTCAAAAACTTTAAAATAAATTTTTATTATAAAATCATAGTATTATAACGTTATAAAATTATACAATTAAATCGTATATTTAATAACTCATTCATATTCTGACCAGTGAAGTTAATAAAATCATCTTTATTAACAATTACAAGTTCACTATCTGATACAACTATTTATTTTATTTTTATATTATTTTAAATTAAAAGATAATATTATCATTATCTTCTTTGTTTCTTGATTTCTCTTGTTTTAGAATTTTTCGCTCTTTAATAATGTGCCTATTTTATTACCATAGAAGCTCGTGATGTATTTTGTTATCTTTACTTTTATTTTAACTTACTAATATTGTTAAATCTATAACAATGGTCATTAAATCTTTAAAAATCTGTATACATATTTACTTTTGAACTCTAATATAACTAAAGGTTCATTTTGAATATAGTAGATAGCCTACTATCATTTCTATAGTTCCCTCATTTAACAAGTTATTATTAATCATGTCAAAAACAAGTTTTTCATTAGAAATATATTTATTAAGATATATTGCTAATATCTTTCAATTGTCTAATAATGAACTGAGCAACAAGAATGGTAGTTACTTATCATCTAAATCTCTACACATGATCAACTTATCATATTCTAAAAACTACTCTCACCAAGAAACCATTATTGTATTTCAAGTTTATTATCTTTCTAACAAGGAATGTCTTATTTCAAGAAGTTTTACACTTAATAACTCACTTAATCTATGTGTCATAAGCTAAAGTATCACCTAATATATAATGATAAGTTTATTGATTTATTCATTAGGTGATCACACCAAAAGTACTGTACCAATAGGGACCGGACGGACGATGAACCGTACGCCAACAATGGACCAAACACGATATCCTTTTGCTCATCATCGAGGGTTGGACGCGCCAAGCCGGACGCCCATTCACCCGCGATCAAGCAACCTTACAGCTCGTCATCCGGATAAACAGCAAGGAGGCCGACTGGTCATACCACCTATAGGGATTGGCCGGCCGAAAGGCCAAACTATGAGAGAATGGCCGACCATACTATTGATTAACCAGGTTTAAGGTAAGTTGAGGTTAAAAGCTATTGCGTTTAATATGGGCCGTGATTAACTTTCCACTGCACATTTATTACTGTTCGATAGAAAAACGTCATTGTTCTCAACTGACTTTGGCATCGGAGAATCTTTCGCAGGTCTCCTACCCGCGGATTGAGGAAGAAATTGAGGAGTGAGTACGAAGGACCGAACACACCAAGTACAAACAAAGAAGGACGTGAAGATATTAAACGACACAGTCCTACACATTCGGAACAAGTACACTGCTTCAGTTCAAAAAGTCAATGGATACCAACTTAAAAAATAGAAAAGGAAAGTATAATCGAAGTAAAATGTTAAGGTTTATTATAGAGATAGGTATGTTCTGAAATGAAATAAAAGAGGTATTGGAGAAAAAGTGTAAAATGGAAGGATTGAGATTGGGATTGGGTCCAAAGATGCAGATCTTTTCCTTGGCACAGTGGATGAGACACGAGACACGCCCCATTCATTCTCAACGACAAATTCCAATCAACTTCAACTTTTTCTCACCTCCCTTATCCCAACAATTCTTTTTTATTCCAAACAACATAATTCTAAATATTCATTTTTCTTATATACAAAATTATCTATCACTTTTTTAGTCATGCAATTTTAATCTATTTTTTAATTTCACTTTTAATGTTCAACAAACACTATCTGCACACAATGTTGCATTGCAATCACACTATGTTGCCATTATTGCTTTTATTAAATTTAAACGGTAAGTTAACGGGTCAATCAAAAAATCACACTAGTAAAATAGTGGGAGACTAATTATAAATAAATAAATAGATGAAATTTGCATAAACACGATCGCTGAAAATTAGAAGTGCAAATAGGTTTATAAAATGTTATACCAGGAAAACATGTTGCAAAGACGTTTAAATTTAAAATGTATAATTATTCGTAGACTATATTCGATTACTCGTTTTTAAAATAATGTTTTAGTTATTTGTAATAAAAAAATGCTTTATTAATTCAAATGTTTGGTCTTTTTTTAGTGTAAGGATTTATATTTAGAATATTAGGTAAGCATATTTAAAAATTAAATAAAAAAATATTATGCTTGGTTTCAAGATTATAAATGGAAAATAAATAGATTTTATTATTTATTTTATTGTTTAAAAAACTTCTTTAAACTTATTTTAGAAATTTGCGTAATTTCTCTTTATTTTCTTAAACTAAATCATGAAATTTATGTTTTAGGCAAATTCTCTTCTAAAATATTGTGAGTTTCCTTTTTAAAATTATTATAAATATCTCACATTGATTAAAGATAAAATTAATTTATAATATATAAATGAATGTAAATTTTATTTTATAAATCAATTTTTGTAAGATTAAATTATATTTAAA